TTTTTTTTTTTTTTTTCTTCCTATAGGGAAGATAAAGATACAGGATATTCTAGCTTGCAGCTTCCTAGATGATTTGTTGGAGGTAAGATCTTGCAACATATACTACTGTTTTTTGGTTTCCTCTTCCTGAGTTCTAACTTTTGTTTCACTTAGTTAAGGGATGAAGAACTGTCTAAAGAAAGTCAAGAAACAAACTGGTTTTCTGCTCCTTCTGCATTAAGAGTTTATGGTAGGTTCCTTTCTAGGTGATTTTTTTTTCTACCTTATATGACCTAATCACATACTTAGCAGTACTTTTCCTGTTATTTAAATCCTGCTGATACCTTGTGTTTTCAGTATCTTTAATTATGCCTTCAGTCCATCTTCCTGACTGTCTTTTGTAGTCTTTGTTTTCCTTCCCTCTGTTTACTGTCACGCTATGTTCCTTGCATTCCTTTTTACCTTCTCTTTTGATTGCTCTGCTGGTGCTTTTGCATCACCTTTGGCTGTTTTTTTCAGTCCAGCTCTTTTTTAGCGCAAATCCCTGCTGAAGATGCTAGCTTTTCCTTTAAAGTCAACACTTAAGTCATCCATTCCTTTCTGCTTGTGCTCAGACAATATTTTTGAGCCTTTTTGCTTTTGGCACCTTGACATGTTTGAGTAAGGTTGTTAGCACCTCATTACAAGAACTCTTGTCTCTGCTGTATTCTGTGCTCATTTATGTTGTCTATGAATATTTTTATGGATCTAGAATATTTACACTTAATCTAAATCATAAAGTTAGTGCAGTTAAATGTGTGCTGAACATTTTCCTCCATTGAACAGTTCTTTGTGGTGTGGGGGTTTTGTTTTGGCCTCTTTATGCTCTCTTCAGGCCAGTACTTGAACCTTGATAAGGATCACAACGGCATGCTCAGCAAAGAGGAACTGTCCCGCTATGGAACAGGGACTCTCACCAACATATTCCTGGATCGTGTCTTCCAAGAGTGCTTAACTTACGATGGAGAAATGGTAATCACATTTATTTATTCTGTTCTCAATTTAAAAGCATATGCTTATTGCTCTGGAAAATGTCTCATAATCAGTATCTTTAAATAGTAGCTGAAAATTAATTTTCTGATGTCAGGATGATCACAATGTGGCTAAAAGACAGAAGTTGCTTTCTTTCAAAAGCAGAGGTGCTATAAAATAGATAATTGGGATGAAGTTTCTCTTCCATTTGTATATTTAATAATTCATACTGCATATTGATGAAATGTTCAGATATATCAATGCTTTCTAATGATATTTAATTCTTTAGTCAAAGTCAAAGGTGAGTGGCACATCTTCAGATTAGGCCAACAGTTAACTAACCTGTGTATTTCACTGTGAAGACAGTGGTAATTTTACTGAAGGCTACTTAACAGCCATTTATGTATGGCTGTAAACAACAGGAAGTCTAATGTGAGATTAGAACTAAAATCTAAACTTGTACTCTTTCATTTGAAAGCTTTCCTAAGTCTATCACTGTTTCCAAAATCTGCATTCATGTGACTTGCCTCTAAAAGTGCTAACTGACAGATTCACTGCACAGTTCTTCTGTGTTGCTTGTGTTAGCAGTGTTTCATAGAATCACATAATTACTGAGTTTGGAAGGGGCCTCTGGAGATC